GGAAGGGAAGGGAAGGGAGCGAGCGAGTGAGTCCGCCCAAGGCGGAGGGAAGGAGGGCTCGGGAGGGAGGCGGGCAGGCCGGCCGGCAGGAAGGAAGGAAGGAAGGAAGGAAGGAAGGGGCGGAAAGGAGGCCCAGCCCAGCCCAGCCGGGAGCGGCAGCCGGGAGAATGGCGGGCGGCGGCGGCCCCGGAGCGGCAAGAAGAGCGGCGGCAGGACTCAGAGCTTGGGAACGTGTGGTTGTTGTCGGTTGCTGATGCTGTGGTGGCCGGCCATGCCCATTGCTGGCCTTTGAGGATTTTGGGAGTGGTAGCCCAAACCGCACCTTTTCAGAGCTCCAGTTCTCCTGAAGACATGTGCTCATGAGTAGGATCTTGAGTGTCCTCTTTTCGGGAGGGCGGTCCTCCAGATCAAGGGCTGCCAGAGGACCACCTTCCTCTTAAAGGGGGTCTTCCATGTGGAGGGCAGTCTAGACCAAAAAACAAGGGGGGGAAGAATCATCAGGAGTTTGCTCAGTGACTTTGAGATTGCCCATCATCCACCATGAAGAGCCCTCAACCAGCAGACTCAAGTCTGGGGGGGGCGCTCCCCTTCCTGCCCCACTGGTGCCCCACGCATGGGCCGGCTGGCCCCGACCCTTGGCTGGGGGGGCGGAAGCGTTGGGTGGCGGTCTGCCCCAGTGGGATGGGGAGGAGGAGGAGGAGGGTGTCCCGGGGCCAGGGAGCCAAGCGGGTGGGGCACCGAGGCTCGATTCACACATAGGGGGAGAGAGGGGGCACCTGGGTGGCCGCACACCCCCAGCCCTTCTTCTATGGGGGCCTGAGACAGAAAGGTCTGGTTTTCTGCTCATGACCTCCCTCTGTGTGTGTGTGTGTGTGTGTGTGTGTGTGTCCGTGTGCGTGTGTGTGTGTGTCTTTACCAAGACGTGCAAGTACTGTAGCCGTACACAAGGCAGACGGTGCGCAAGATGCTGAGCGTCTTGTCCGGTGCACACCTGGGGGCAGTTCCATCAGCAGAGGATTTCTGGCCAGGCCAACGGAGAGAGCAGGGGATGAGACCCGGCGATCTTCCCGCGCACCCACCGCCCGGGCAAAGGCTGCTCGGTCCTGCGCGCTTCCTTCTTGGCCGAACCACCAGAGCGGGGGCTCAGCTCCCCTGGGGCTCCGGACGAGGCGGAGCTCCTTGGTCCTTTTGGGCTGAGGGTCGGAGTCGCCTCGGGTGGGTGCGGTGGGTGACCCCGGGGGGTCTCGGATGGCCCAGGAGGAGCGTGTCCGTGATGGTTCGGCCGGCTGACCCTCTCCGTGCCTTCTGTTCCATAGGCCGTGGGGGTTCTTCCGGACGGCCTCTTTGGGTCTGGGCCCTCTTTGGTGAAGTCCTGGTTCTGTCCTGAGAGGGGTCGGTCCAGAAAGTGGTGCTGAGGGACTCCTGTATGGGACAGTCGGCCTGGCCTTTGACCTGGGAGCGCCCCCCCCCCAGGTTCAGCTCTGTCCTTCCAGCCCTATTTGATGGCTGTGTCTGACCGCTGGGAGAGGTGGCCTGGTTCCTCTCTTCCTCCGAGGAAGACCCCGGAGCAGAGTCGGATGCCAGGAAAGGATTGGCCAAGGGCAAGCAAAGTGATGGGAGCCCTCAGTGGCCGGTCAAAAGGCCGATCGGGGGTACAAGGATTCAGCCTGTGCTCCATTCCCCTGAAAAGGCTGGTCCCCAGGAGAGACGTCTTCCTGGACTCTGGATGCGCACGGATGCCCAGGTGTCAGCGGTTGCCTGCCTGCCTGCCTTGGCACCCTCGAAAGCTGCCGTGCCAGCTCTGTGCCACCTGGACTGACTTTGGCAACGCGCATCCCTTGATTCTTCCTGGCTTGGTTTACTGTAGGGCGGTCTTTGTGGAGCTGCTTTTCTAGAAGGATCAGAAATGTCATCTCTTCCAAAACGCTGCCGCTGGTCTGTTGACCAAGGCCAGTTGTCCAGGGCATTGAGTATCTCCCCGTTCCATCATCTCCACCGGCTGCTGGTCTGTTTCAAGGCTCAGCTCAAAGTGTGGGGTGATGATGAGCTGTGGAGCCCTGTACTATGTGGCTCCAGGCCACCTGAGGGGCTGCGTCTCCCCCTTCTTAAGGTCTTCAGGGAGGGGCTTCGCTTAGTCCCATCATCCTCAAAGGCACATCGGCCGGGGATGCAAGAGCAGGAATTCCTGGTGGGCTATGGAACTCCTTTCCACCGCAGACTATAAGGGTGCAGTCAGTCAGACAAGGTAGCGGGACTGCGTGGGATCGCTCTGAAAAGGGTGGCTTTCCCTGGGTGGGATTTCCTGCAAAGCGACCCGCCCCTGCCCACGGAATCCGTCCCCTTTTGCTCCAGGCCAGCTCCCCAAAACGTGGATTGCCCCCACGGTGGCCCTGCCACGGGACGTCCCGTATGCGATCTGGTGGCCAGAAGAGGGATTGAACCAGAACAGGCCACAAACATGGTCGGTTCAGCCCGTGTTGTTGTCCGATTGTGCCCTTGGCCGACCCTTTTCCTGCTGTCCTTCCGGTGGCGAGCAAAAGCCTCCTTAAACCTTTAAGCAATTGCTCAGCCGCTGAACAGCCTGTGGAGAAAAGAACTTCCAGTGGAGGGCTGCTTCGCCTCTTGGGAAATGTTTTTAATCCCTAGAATCCTAGAATGATGGAGTTGAAAGGGGGCCCTCGAAGGTCATCAAGTCCAACCCCCTTCTCAGTCCAAATCAAAGCAGGTCGGACAGAAGAGGGTCCAGTTCTTTTCTTGAATGCCTCCAGTGTTGGAACACTCCCCATCACCTCCCTCTTACTCAATTCCGTTGTCCTGCTGCTCTAACAATTAAGAATCTCTCTCCCCCCCCCCAAAATATTCAGCCTAAAGCTTGGTTCTTGTAGCTTGAGCCCTATTATGATGATGATGTGTCCTGGGGTAGCTTGAGCCCTATTATGATGATGATGATGATGATGTGTCCTGGACTTTGGGATGGCTGAGAACAGATCCTGCCCCTCTTCTGCAGGACAGCCTTTTAAGTCTTTGAAAAGTGCTCTCCTCCTGTTTCCCCCCCCCCATCTTCTTTTCTCCAAGCGAAACAGGCCCAGTTCTTGCCATCTTTCCTCCTCAAAGGGCTTGTTTTCCAGTCCCTTGATCATCCTCATCACCCTTCTCTGAACTTGGTCCAGTTTGTCAGCATCCTTGGAGTGCAGAGTCCAGTCTTGGACTCAAGATGAGGCCTAACCAGTCCCAAATAGAGGGGGACTAGTACCTCTCAAGATTTGGAGAGTATACGTTAATGCAGCCTAAAATAGTGTTGGCCTGTTTTGCAGCCACCTCACACTGTGGGCTCATTTTCAACTTGTCTACAACATTTCCAAGATCCTTCTCACTTGTGGTATAATAGAGCCACCGTATCTCCCATCCTATAACTGTGCATTTGTGTGTATTCCCCCCCAGGTGTAGAACTTTGCACTTATCTCTGTTAAATTTCATTCTGTCGTCGTTTCAAGGTATTGCTTGAGAGCATGAAAGACGCAGAGAGAAGGCGAGCCTAGCTGATGTCTTGTCAAGGGGCACTGCAGGGTGTGTGTGTGTGGGGGGGGGGGAGGTCTGTGTTGGAGGGAGGCCAAGGAAGGTGGGGGCCCCCGCATGGAAGTAATTGGCTTTCTTTTTCCTCTTCTCTGCTCACCACCTTCTCCGCCCGGGACCCACCAGGTCTGATCCCACCCCTCAGCTATCCTGCCTTGAGCCCTCCAGGCCGAGAACTCTAACGCTGCCACCACAAACGACTCCAAGCTCTAAAGATGAACAAGGAAGCCACAGAGGTATCCGGTGAGTTCAGCCACCTTGTTGTTTTGATCCAAAACAGAATTAACCAAAGTCCACAAAGGGGCGAGTGATTTCACTTGGGTGAATGAAAAATTCTCAGAAGACGCGAGCTTAAGAGATTTCTGCAGCCCTTCATCAGGCCAGATGGTACATAAAACATTTATTACTATCTAGTCTGGTGCAGAATTCTGGAAAACTCCAAAGCCTGCGTATTTCTAGTGAAATTTTAGTCGGCTCTGAGCCATCGTCTTGCCCCCCCCCCGGTCCCTTCTTTCTTTCTGTGGAAGCAAAAACAGAGCACTGGGAGCATGCAGGTGCTTTTCCCGCCTTCTTTCTGTCTTTCTCCTGCTCTGAGGAACCCAGGAGTCCTGGCTTTTCCCCTCGCCTACCAGTGGCTCTGCCTGGGAATAAGCACAGCCGCCAGGGTGGATGCAGCTGGCAGAACTCTCTTTCCCCTCCATGGAAGCTTTCCTGCTGCCTCTGGATCTTGTGCCGTTCAGGACATGGTGCCGTCCCCTGCATGGCTGCCCACCCCCACCCACCCCCTTTGCGTGTGTTTTCAGAAAACCGGCCCGTTCATGGTGGTGGAACCTGCCATGGGGCGAGGAGGAGATCGGCAGGGCCTTCTCTGTGGGGGCCCCTGTGCTCTTCTGCCACTTCCTTTGAGGCCATGTTGTCAGTGGGCAAAGTGGGCTTTATTTGAGGGAGACCCCTTGGGGGTGCTGCTGGGCCTGGCCGCTCCGAGGACAGCGTTTTTAGTTTGCTGGATGAAGGATCGGGTAGGAAGTGCTGAAGAATGGAGTGCTGGTTAAGGCTTTGTTGAAGGCCTGATCCTCATGCGTGTGTCCCTGTCTGCAAGGGCGTGTATCCAAATTGTATTGTGGTGGGCACGCCTGTTTCTCCTAAAGAAGGCTACGTGGTGGATGAAAAGCAGGTGCCAAATTTGTTTGTTTTTCTGACTTATATATTGCCCACCTGGCTACAGGGCCACTTGGAACATAACAAAATAGATAACAATTTAAAATAGTAAACATAAACCGTAAACACGACAGCTAGGAAAAAAAAATCAAAATTAACACTGATACACAGACAAAACTGCATAATGTTAACTAAAAATGAATCAGGTGATTTAAAGGCAAGGTGGCAGAATGGAGAATTTGAATGTTGAGACAACCGCATCGTGTTATGGCGTTAATAGGCTCTGGGAAGGCCTGTCTGAAGATCCATGTTTTCATGGACCGTTTAAAAATTCCCAGCAAAGCGGGCAGGTGAATTTCGGATGGGAGGTTATTCCAGAGATGGGGAGTGACCCCCCCCCTCAAGGAGGCCTGAGTTTTGGTCTTCCCTCTTTCCAGGCCTTTCTTGGGATCAATGTTCTCAACTGCCCAGCCTGGGAAGATCATGTGGAACGGTCAGATCTTATCGGAAAGAGATTTCCTTCCAGATATCAGGGTCTCAAACTGTTTAGGGCTTTGTATGTCATCATCATCACCTTGACGCTGGCACAGATGGGGGAGATACGATGGTATTTTTTCACTCCGCTCCGTAGTCTGGCCGCCACGTTCTGGACCTGGCTGAAGTTTCCATAGCAGCCTCATAGGCAGCCCCCAGCTAGAGAGCATGGCAGTAGTCTAGTCTCGAGAAGGACCCAGTGTCGAGGTAGGGACGCAGCGGGGCAATCCGCCTCTGGTGGGGAAAGGAGGAGCGGACCACAGACGCAGATTCACTCTACCCCCCACCCCCGAATCGGCAATGTGGCGCCCCAGGAATCACTGTTTCATGCTGGGGATCTGAGTCATGGTCTGGGCAGCCAGGGCCAAAGAATGAGTCTGTAGAACGTGTGGCAGGTGTGGGGATGGAGGGAGGTTGAATGCTCTCCTATATGTAAGACCCCCTTCAAACAGAGGAGCAAAAGAGCGCCGACTGCCTTCTTTCCTCCCTCCCTCCAGTGAGATCAGGCTGAAATACGTGCCTCTCTCTCTCTCTCTCTCTCTCTTCCTCCTGACTTCACCCTGAGAGCAGCAACCCTGTGAGGCAGAGCGGATCAGGAAGGGGAGGGTGCAGGAAGGAGTGAAGGAGACACACACAAGCACATACACAAGCACACCCCCCCCCGAAGGCCACACAGTGGCTTCCCTGGGTCAGAGGGGACTTGAACGTGGGTCTCCGCCCAGCACTTTGACCCCTTGCCCCGTCCTGCCTTCCCCATGTCGTCTGAAGTGGCGCAGTCCGTTTAGCTACCTCGCATTTACCTGGAAATTACGATTGTGCAGCAAGAACGTGAAGGGGGCGAGCGCCTCTTGATTGCTGCCGGTTTGTCTTTTAATTTGAAACACTCTGGTAATTGGCTTTCCGTCTGCCGAAACAACATTCTTGGTTGTCCAGGACCTTGATTGGCGGGCTTCCTCGTTCTCCAAGCTCTTCTTCAGGCGAAGATGATGCAGAATTGGGGTGGGGGGTGGGAAGCAAGAAATATCCCAAACGGTGCTGGCTGGACGCTGTGGAGTGGTGAGAACATGCTTCGTGCTCCGCTAAGTTTGCACCGTGGCTGTCCCGACAAGAGTACCGGAGGACGCAAGTGTTTGCCTGGTTTGTCCCCTCCCCCCTAAAGGCATTTGTGCCGCCGTGCGCCCTCGAGCGGCTTCTGGCTGTGGTGGCCCCCAGAGCAGGTCAGTTCTCCCCTCCAGACCGGGGCAGGGGTGGTGGAGGTTGAAAGACGGAGGGGTTCTGCCTTGCCCTTTTTTTTAAAAGGAAGGAACGTCAGGGCTTCCTCTTGGAACCAGTTTTTTTTTTGGGGGGGGGCTGTTGTTTTAAAAACCCAACCGCCTCTCCCGGTGTCCAGAGTGCATGGAAAGAACGGACGGGAAGCCTAGAGAACGGGACCTCACTTTGGGCCCCATCAGGGAGGTGTGGTATTTTGGGTTAAGTAAGATGGTGACGATCAAGGCCAGCATTTTGGTTTGGGTCTGGAAGCCCTAGATGGAGAAAAAAGAGGTCCCTGTCGTCTGATCCCCGAGCCATGCCATTCAGCCCCATTTTTGCATTTGCCGCTCTTCGTTTTGCGTTGTCGTTAAGACCAGCTTCACAAAAGTCACCTTGTAGTGATCAGTCCTGGAGGCGAAAGGCACACCAGGCCCGGTGGAGGTCCCTGTCGTCTGATCCCCGTTAGGAGCCATTCAGCCCCATTTTTGCATTTGCCGCTCTTCGTTTTGCGTTGTCGTTAAGACCAGCTTCACAAAAGTCACCTTGTAGTGATCAGTCCTGGAGGCGAAAGGCACACCTGTAGAGGCCCGGTGACGGTCGTGGGAGAGGTTACTCCGCTGCTGATATTAGCCTGAAGTTTAAAGGAGGTGGCCGAGGTGTTGAATCTCTTTTGGAGTCAGGGTCCAGCACCTTGGGTTAGCTGTGGGTCTCAAACTGTTTAGGGCTTTGTATGTCATCATCATCACCTTGACGCTGGCACAGATGGGGGAGATACGATGGTATTTTTTCACTCCGCTCCGTAGTCTGGCCGCCACGTTCTGGACCTGGCTGAAGTTTCCGTAGCAGCCTCCTAGGCAGCCCCCAGCTAGAGAGCATGGCAGTAGTCTAGTCTCGAGAAGGACCCAGTGTCGAGGCTGTTTAGGGCTTTGTATGTCATCATCATCACCTTGACGCTGGCACAGATGGGGGAGATACGATGGTATTTTTTCACTCCGCTCCGTAGTCTGGCCGCCACGTTCTGGACCTGGCTGAAGTTTCCGTAGCAGCCTCCTAGGCAGCCCCCAGCTAGAGAGCATGGCAGTAGTCTAGTCTCGAGAAGGACCCAGTGTCGAGGTAGGGACGCAGCGGGGCAATCCGCCTCTGGTGGGGAAAGGAGGAGCGGACCACAGACGCAGATTCACTCTACCCCCCACCCCCGAATCTGCAATGTGGCGCCCCAGGAATCACTGTTTCATGCTGGGGATCTGAGTCATGGTCTGGGCAGCCAGGGCCAAAGAATGAGTCTGTAGAACGTGTGGCAGGTGTGGGGATGGAGGGAGGTTGAATGCTCTCCTATATGTAAGACCCCCTTCAAACAGAGGAGCAAAAGAGCGCCGACTGCCTTCTTTCCTCCCTCCCTCCAGTGAGATCAGGCTGAAATACGTGCCTCTCTCTCTCTCTCTCTCTCTCTCTCTCTCTTCCTCCTGACTTCACCCTGAGAGCAGCAATCCTGTGAGGCAGAGCGGATCAGGAAGGGGAGGGTGCAGGAAGGAGTGAAGGAGACATACACAAGCCCCCCCCCCCCCCGAAGGCCACACTGTGGCTTCCCTGGGTCAGAGGGGACTTGAACGTGGGTCTCCGCCCAGCACTTTGACCCCTTGCCCCGTCCTGCCTTCCCCATGTCGTCTCAAGTGGCGCAGTCCGTTTAGCTGCCTCGTTCTGTTGCATTTACCTGAAAATTAAGATTGTGCAGCAAGAACGTGAAGACAGGGAAGCAGAGCCTCCTTGGAGCCTGTCATCCCTCCTAGGGAGGGGTACGGTGACCCCCCCTAACTCAGCTGGCCACCATGAGCCCCCTCTGGCGCCCAGCTCTTCTCTGCCACCATCCCATAAATGTGGGACCCCCCCTCCCTGCTCACCGGCCCCCTTTCCTTTTCCAGAGAACAACCACCACCTGAAGGTTTTCCTGCCCAAGAAGCTGGTGGATTGTGTCCCAAAGTGCCCTGCCCTGCCGAAAGAGCGCCTGCGCTGGAACACCAACGAGGTAGGGTGATGAGGCGCCCGCTGGGCAGAGGAGGCTCCGCGGCACGGGGTGGGCGGGGGTGTGTGCGGCTTCCGGGGTGGTGGGGCGAGCGCCTCTTGATTGCTGCCGGTTTGTCTTTTAATTTGAAACACTCTGGTAATTGGCTTTCCGTCTGCCGAAACAACATTCTTGGTTGTCCAGGACCTTGATTGGCGGGCTTCCTCGTTCTCCAAGCTCTTCTTCAGGCGAAGATGATGCAGAATTGGGGTGGGGGGTGGGAAGCAAGAAATATCCCAAACGGTGCTGGCTGGACGCTGTGGAGTGGTGAGAACATGCTTCGTGCTCCGCTAAGTTTGCACCGTGGCTGTCCCGACAAGAGTACCGGAGGACGCAAGTGTTTGCCTGGTTTGTCCCCTCCCCCCTAAAGGCATTTGTGCCGCCGTGCGCCCTCGAGCGGCTTCTGGCTGTGGTGGCCCCCAGAGCAGGTCAGTTCTCCCCTCCAGACCGGGGCAGGGGGGGTGGAGGTTGAAAGACGGAGGGGTTCTGCCTTGCCCTTTTTTTTAAAAGGAAGGAACGTCAGGGCTTCCTCTTGGAACCAGTTTTTTTTTTGGGGGGGGGCTGTTGTTTTAAAAACCCAACCGCCTCTCCCGGTGTCCAGAGTGCATGGAAAGAACGGACGGGAAGCCTAGAGAACGGGACCTCACTTTGGGCCCCATCAGGGAGGTGTGGTATTTTGGGTTAAGTAAGATGGTGACGATCAAGGCCAGCATTTTGGTTTGGGTCTGGAAGCCCTAGATGGAGAAAAAAGAGGTCCCTGTCGTCTGATCCCCGTTAGGAGCCATTCAGCCCCATTTTTGCATTTGCCGCTCTTCGTTTTGCGTTGTCGTTAAGACCAGCTTCACAAAAGTCACCTTGTAGTGATCAGTCCTGGAGGCGAAAGGCACACCTGTAGAGGCCCGGTGACGGTCGTGGGAGAGGTTACTCCGCTGCTGATATTAGCCTGAAGTTTAAAGGAGGTGGCCGAGGTGTTGAATCTCTTTTGGAGTCAGGGTCCAGCACCTTGGGTTAGCTGTTGTAAAGTTTGGACTAAAACCCAGTGCAGATTCACTGTCCCCATGATCTCAGAGCCCCCAGTCTCCACTGAGGCCAGACATTCCTTATTCACACCTTGGCATGACTCCTATATCCAGAAACAGAAGAGGTGAATGTGGGTGTCGAAAAGAAAGAAGCTTTCCCAGAAGTTTGCAGAAGTGAGACACTGGGTTTTAACAGCTTCTCCATCATCCACATAGTCAGAGAACGGTCCATAACTTCTCATGATCCATGTAGTCAAAAGCACAAAGTGATTTTTCTTCTGAAATTCTCTGGTACACTCCAAGAGCCAATAAATGTTTGCAATGCGATATTTCTGGTGATTTATTGAACTTGGTTGCTTTGAAAGCAGCTTTCCCTTCACTTTCTGAAATTGCAGATTCTTTGGCAAAGGATTCTTCCATCATCCTTCCATCTCTTCTGCATAGTTCTTCAATATATTCTTTCTGTCTTCTTTCTCTTTTATCCTAATGAGATCATATGTTCCCCCGTTCATCTTTCAGCACCCCTAATACACATTTAGGTTTCCAATTGAATTTTAGATCTCATGCGGGAAGATTCTTGTTATGCCTTTTCTGCTGCCCTCTTCTATTTCATTGCAGGATCTAATAGTAGTTTCCTTTGACCCCACGTGCCAGCCTCTCTTTCAGTGAGCCCCTTTAGCTTCTGCTTTCTCTGCCCTTCTGGAACCAAAAGGATCCATTCTTCAGCCCAGTTATTGGGGGGGGGGGAGAAACGCCACAGTCAAAGGCCAATGCACTGACTCTTTGTCAGGAGGGCCCACTAGGCTGCCTCTTTCGGCAACGCTTCTCTGAGAGGACGGAGCGCTGGATGAACCCGGCACAGCAAAGCATTGGCATCAGTCCGCCAGTCGTTGGGACCAGCCTGGACGGCACAGGCGGGCAGGCAGGGAGCGATGGCCGGCCAAGCTTAAGGGCAAGACCTCCTTCCCTGGGAGAGGCCACGGGGCTTTGACCTGCAGCCACAGGGGCCTGGCCTCTTCCCACCGGGGCACCCTCTTGCTGTGCCCCACGGCACGGATGTTGGCATCATACGGGGCTGCCCTTGGGACCCATGGCGGCCCCTTCTTGTCCATGGCAACTGAGGCGTGGAGCTGTTTTCCCCCTTTTAGGGGCAAGGCAGGTGTTTCCCTAAAAGCGATTTGCGAGTGGCTTGGGCCACACAGATGCTTTGGACTACAGTTCCCATCAATTCTAGCGAACAGGGGTTTGGGGAGCTGCAGTTCAGCAGCAGCTGGAGGGCCGGCTACAGGTGGTCTGGGCTCACCCAGAGACCTACCGAAGGGATGGGAGACTCTCCAGTTCAGAGAGGAATGAAATCCATCCCTCAGACGTGTAGAGAGAACTTTGTTAAGGCGGGCAAGCTGGAGGCAGACGAAGCAACGCATGAAAAAATAGCTAATGAAGAAGAAGAAACGGAAAACGGACATAGGTGTAAAAATGCTTGCTCTACTAACACAGTTTTATAGGAGTGAGAACATCCAAGGAAGTGGTTTCACCCTGGGAGGAAAGGAACGTCAGGGCTTCCTCTTGGAACCAGCTTTTTTGGGGGGCTGTTGTTTTAAAAACCCAACCGCCTCTCCCAGTGTCCAGAGTGCATGGAAAGAACGGACGGGAAGCCTAGAGAACGGGACCTCACTTTGGGCCCCATCAGGGAGGTGTGGTATTTTGGGTTAAGTAAGATGGTGACGATCAAGGCCAGCATTTTGGTTTGGGTCTGGAAGCCCTAGATGGAGAAAAAAGAGGTCCCTGTCGTCTGATCCCCGTTAGGAGCCATTCAGCCCCATTTTTGCATTTGCCGCTCTTCGTTTTGCGTTGTCGTTAAGACCAGCTTCACAAAAGTCACCTTGTAGTGATCAGTCCTGGAGGCCGGTGTCGCTCCCTCTGCCCCACTGCCGTGCAACCAGAATACGCCATAGGGCAGGGAGAGGAAGCTCCCACCACCACCACCACCACCAGCGGCACAGCAGAAGCAAGGAGGCGTCATGCCCTGGCCGCCTCCAGTGCCTGCACGAGTTCCTTTTCTGGCATACAGAGCCCAGAAGCCCCGTTCCCGTGTGGGGCAACTTTAGTGACGAGGGGGGCCGGGGGTGGGTCACTGGAGTGGTCTCAGAGCCCCCAGTCTCCACTGAGGCCAGACATTCCTTATTCACACCTTGGCATGACTCCTATATCCAGAAACAGAAGAGGTGAATGTGGGTGTCGAAAAGAAAGAAGCTTTCCCAGAAGTTTGCAGAAGTGAGACACTGGGTTTTAACAGCTTCTCCATCATCCACATAGTCAGAGAACGGTCCATAACTTCTCATGATCCATGTAGTCAAAAGCACAAAGTGATTTTTCTTCTGAAATTCTCTGGTACACTCCAAGAGCCAATAAATGTTTGCAATGCGATATTTCTGGTGATTTATTGAACTTGGTTGCTTTGAAAGCAGCTTTCCCTTCACTTTCTGAAATTGCAGATTCTTTGGCAAAGGATTCTTCCATCATCCTTCCATCTCTTCTGCATAGTTCTTCAATATATTCTTTCTGTCTTCTTTCTCTTTTATCCTAATGAGATCATATGTTCCCCCGTTCATCTTTCAGCACCCCTAATACACATTTAGGTTTCCAATTGAATTTTAGATCTCATGCGGGAAGATTCTTGTTATGCCTTTTCTGCTGCCCTCTTCTATTTCATTGCAGGATCTAATAGTAGTTTCCTTTGACCCCACGTGCCAGCCTCTCTTTCAGTGAGCCCCTTTAGCTTCTGCTTTCTCTGCCCTTCTGGAACCAAAAGGATCCATTCTTCAGCCCAGTTATTGGGGGGGGGGGGGAAACGCCACAGTCAAAGGCCAATGCACTGACTCTTTGTCAGGAGGGCCCACTAGGCTGCCTCTTTCGGCAACGCTTCTCTGAGAGGACGGAGCGCTGGATGAACCCGGCACAGCAAAGCATTGGCATCAGTCCGCCAGTCGTTGGGACCAGCCTGGACGGCACAGGCGGGCAGGCAGGGAGCGATGGCCGGCCAAGCTTAAGGGCAAGACCTCCTTCCCTGGGAGAGGCCACGGGGCTTTGACCTGCAGCCACAGGGGCCTGGCCTCTTCCCACCGGGGCACCCTCTTGCTGTGCCCCACGGCACGGATGTTGGCATCATACGGGGCTGCCCTTGGGACCCATGGCGGCCCCTTCTTGTCCATGGCAACTGAGGCGTGGAGCTGTTTTCCCCCTTTTAGGGGCAAGGCAGGTGTTTCCCTAAAAGCGATTTGCGAGTGGCTTTGGCCACACAGATGCTTTGGACTACAGTTCCCATCAATTCTAGCGAACAGGGGTTTGGGGAGCTGCAGTTCAGCAGCAGCTGGAGGGCCGGCTACAGGTGGTCTGGGCTCACCCAGAGACCTACCGAAGGGATGGGAGACTCTCCAGTTCAGAGAGGAATGAAATCCATCCCTCAGACGTGTAGAGAGAACTTTGTTAAGGCGGGCAAGCTGGAGGCAGACGAAGCAACGCATGAAAAAATAGCTAATGAAGAAGAAGAAACGGAAAACGGACATAGGTGTAAAAATGCTTGCTCTACTAACACAGTTTTATAGGAGTGAGAACATCCAAGGAAGTGGTTTCACCCTGGGAGGAAAACCGTCACCCCCACCGCGAGGGTTAGTGGGGCCGTGTGCTGCTCCCGGCGGGTCCTGAGGCCTGGGCAGGCCGTCGGGAATTGGGCCGGGCCGGAAGGAAGCGCCCGGACAACCTGCGGAGGGGTCTCTCCCAAGCCACACTTTTCCAAGTCTGAGGGAGAGGCTTCTCAGCAGGCAGGCCTGAAAATTCCCAGCTGGAAGTTTTTCGGCTAGGAATTCATCCAGGCAAGCATAGAAAAATGCAGCTCATTTTAAATTTTCTGGGGTGCAGGTGACGCTGCATTTGTGGGGAGAGGAGGGGAGGGAGTGAAAGCTGGGCAACTTTTTGTTCTTTCTGGGAAGTGGGAAAGGATTTGACCGGTGTCGCTCCCTCTGCCCCACTGCCGTGCAACCAGAATACGCCATAGGGCAGGGAGAGGAAGCTCCCACCACCACCACCACCACCAGCGGCACAGCAGAAGCAAGGAGGCGTCATGCCCTGGCCACCTCCAGTGCCTGCACGAGTTCCTTTTCTGGCATACAGAGCCCAGAATCCCCGTTCCCGTGTGGGGCAACTTTAGTGACGAGGGGGGCCGGGGGTGGGTCACTGGAGTGGAGTGGAGTGATTCAGAAAGCGTATCTTTTTTCCTAGCCATTTCTTGCTAATATCACTTCCTACATCACACGGAGATTCCCCTAAGCATGTGCAAAGTGTTTTCCCCTTGGCGTGGAAAGGGGAACAGGACTGGCGTAGAGAGGTTGCGCGCGATGGCCCTTTTGCCAGTCCTGCGGGGCTCCGGCCTGCGTGGTTTCACAGCCTCTGCGCCCTCCCCTCGAGGACGTCGTCCTGGCACCCCCGCTTCTGCTCAGAGATGAAAAACAGACCCGAAAGAAACCAAACACAAGCCGCAGGCTGAGGAACGGACCCGTAACAACGGCCTCGTGGCCTCCCTCGTGGCCCGAAGCACCCAGGCTTCCTGGATCCC